GCCCGGCCCCGAGCTCAGCCCGGGTGGACATGGGCACAGCCCGGCCCCGAGCTCAGCCCGGGTGGCTGCGGGTACAGCCCGGCCCCGAGCTCAGCCCGGGTGGCTGCGGGTACAGCCCGGCCCCGAGCTCAGCCCGGGAGGCTGCGGGGAGCGGCCCCGAGCTCAGCCCGGGAGGCTGCGGGCACAGCCCGGCCCCGAGCTCCCCGCAGCCCCGCGTTCCGCAGCCCCGATCATCCCGCAGCCCCGAGCTCCAGCACCGCGTTCCGCCCCGGCCCCGCCGCTCCCGCACCTCTCAGCTCCGTGAACCGCTCCAGCCGCCGGGCCGTGTCCTGTCTCCGCGCAGCGCTGCGTCCGCCCATGGCCCGCACGGCCCCGCCGGGAACGGCACGGCACGGCACAGCCCCGGAACGGGAACCGGAACGCGGCCCGGGGAGGCGGAGCGGGGCGGGACGGGGGCGGCTCCACTGCGCTGCTCCGCTCGGAGAACAGCTCCGTGTGCTCGGGAGGAGGGGTTGGGGGTTGTARTCGGGTCCCCGCTTTGTTAATCCGGATAGGAACTGAGTCCTGATCGCCCGTGCCGTGCCGTGTCCGTGCCACTGAGCCGCTCCCGGGGCAGGTCTGGCAATGGTTGAGCGGACCCTGCCCGCACTCACTGCGCGTTTTTAAGACCTGTGTTTGCTCGCTCAGCGACCGGCAGCACTCACACAGCTGAAGGTTGTTTCCAGCTGAAGGTTTTCCAGCTGAAGGTTGTTTCCAGCTGATGGTTTTTCCAGCTGAAGGTTGTTTCCAGCTGAAGGTTGTTTCCAGCTGAAGGTTGTTTCCAGCTGATGGTTTTTCCCGCTGAAGATCTTTCCCGCTGCGGTTCCTTGCCTTGGATATTGTGGATTCCCCATCCCTGGAGGTGTCCAGGAATTCCTGGAGGTGGCACTGAGTGCTCTGGGCTGGGGACACTGTGGGGATGGGGCACAGGCTGGGCCGGATGATGCTGCAGGGATTTTCAGCCTCCCTGATGCTGTGAGTGCGTGCCCGGGATCCGCAGTGCTCAGCCCCGCTCCGTTCCACCGGTGTGTCCTGTCCTCCCCTCTGTCCCCACCCTGGCACAGCTCCTGCTCCTGCCTGCCAACCCTCATTAGTGCTGCCTCTCCTTGATTAGTTACCCAGCTCACACATGCAGTTACTTATGGTTTGGGTTTATTCTGCATAAATTATCTGTGTATCCGTGTCACAGTGGARATGTCCCCACTGCATGYCGGTGRCCAGGTCAGCTTATGGRACAATAWCTTACACGCATTRTTATTTGTATAGTACTGTGCATTASTMTATGTGKRGCTATACTGGTGATATTATAAAAGAAGGGGATACAGTGCAGAACATTTGCCTGTAAATAACCTTTCCCTCCCTGAAATTAGTCTTTCTGGGTAGAATAAATGATTTTTTTAGCAATTCATAATTTGGTAAAAAAGCTTTCACAAAAATAGAGATAAAACATTTCATAAACATTTTACAAAAGTCATATGTAAGAAAAATGTTAAATATTTCCTAGGCTCATCGGCTGTGTCTATGCTGGGCTTAGTTACCTGTCAAAGGTAATATCTGCAATTTATTGGAGACAAAGTAATTGAAACGCTTAGCAGAAGATAAATGATCTTTTTAGCTGGAATATAGAGTCCATAATTACAGTGGGAAACAGATTAGGAAAAATAGCATTCTATCATTTCTGCTGTTTGACATTTACAGAAGTTCAGGGTATTTATTTAATATTTAAACAGCCCATCTCAGGAATGTTTTCAATGTTTGATGTGGTTGAGCACTTSCCTGACACCCTCCATCATTCACCTGGATTATTTTTGCAGGCAGACATGCAATATTTTCAGATTCTGTCTCTTTATCTGCCGTGTGTTTGTACCCGGGTGGTTTGTTAAACTGCTAATGAGTCCCGTGGGGCACTATGTCCAAATTAAACAGACACTGATAACTGCTAGAAATAAACTTTAAAAGCCCAGAAAAAYGTCTCTCTCTGTATATATATAAACTGAAATAAGCTGTGCTGCCATATTATGGGCTGGGTGCTGGGTTGTCTCTCTTCTTTGGGGTGGCAGGCTGGGCACCATTCTGGCAGGACTGCTGAGGCACCGTGTCCCCATTTGGGATCCCAGCAGGGAAGGGGCTGCTGGAACAATCCAAGGGAGAGGGTCCAAAACCTGGAAACCCTCTGCTCTGGA